ATATATATATATATAAAACTGGCAGAGTGTAAAAAAGACACGGTAGTCCCATCTATCTTTGGAAATAAAAAGCAGGAATTCCAGGAATCACTTTATACAGAAGGGAATAAAGGAGCAGAATCCAAACACTGGTAGACAGTCAATAAACGAATCACTAGGTGTATATGCCTGAGCACAGGAGCAGAAACGGCCAAATGAGTTTGAGGACTGGCATGAATGCAGGCCAACGAGCCCTTGTGTGTTGCATGTCGGACAGGAAGTAGCTTCAGAAAGAAAAGAGATTCCTGGAGCAGCTTCTTTTAAATTGGAGTACAACTGCTATATGCTTAATCATATATTCCATAGTCATAGAATCTGAAGTTCAGATGCAAAACACATACTTTAAAGCTAATAAGCAAGCAATATGCAGTATATTAATATAAATGTCATCAGTGATCAAATAATTAGAGGTTATATATTTTCGGTACAGAGGCATTGCTATTTTTACTTAATACTAAGTGACTTTTTGTTTAAAGAAATTAAAAGGTAACACTTTTAAAAATAAACACCTATGAATGAAAGTTCCATTCTAATAAACAACTTGAAAGAAAATAGTGATTTTTCATCCTGGATTACTGTATTTAGAAAAAGCAATATATTAATGTCCGGGTATAATTATCCTTAGAAAGTTGTTTAATATGAATGGGAGTGTATAAGGGGACATAGCTTTTTCAGGAAAAACCAGGGTAATTTCTTTTACTTGAATGAAGAAATAGTAAAGATATATTAGATTCTATACATATGTATATGCATTTAGAATACATATAAATATGTAATTTGGGTTCTATAATTATAAATAATCTGAAAATGAAAAATATATACTTCAAAATCAGTGTTTCTAAAAATGACTTCTTTGTCTCAAGGAGCTCCAGATGTTTATAAATACCAAAAAAGTTTCCACACATATTATGTACAGGTTTCTGAGTGAAATAAATGATTACTTTATTTTTTGTGCCATTTCAAATTCTACTGTTTGTAAAGTTTTCAGAATAAAACTCTACTATATATGGAATTTGTGCTCCAGAAATAAAAATTTTTAACATAATTTGCACTCACATAATTTTTTTGACTCATATTTTCTAGACTGTTATTTTTGTTTAGAAATATAAAAATCAGATGATCTTACTTTGGGATATTTTAAATTTTCTTACAATGCAGAATCTAATAGCCATTTATAAACGTAAACTGTGGGAAATACTTGAAAATGTTATAATGAATGAATAATGCTTACTTATGAATTGCCACTAAAAGCAGGGTGCCTTTCTGACTAGGATGTAATGTTGTTCTGTGTCCCTACAGTGCAGAGACTTTATGGTCACATAATTCCCACTATCCTTCCTCATTTTTCTTCACTGTTGTTTCCTCTCTTTCCACCAATGAGGTTGTTACTGCCTGTGATTTCAACAACAAAGTGGCCCAAATCATCAGGCAAGTGTTTTTTAAATTTAATTTTTCTATTTCTTACTGTAACTCAACCAGTACAAATCCAGGCTTTATAAACAGATGAAATACACTATTACAGTGCAGTCTAAGGAGGACTTGCAGCAGGTCTGGGGCAAGCCAGGCGTTTATATTTTTACCCAGCGATCAGTGAGATTCCTCTGCACATTACAAATTGAGAAACTAGTCTCTCTTCCTCCCACAAACCCTGTGGCATGTAGAAAATGAGCATATGAAAATCATATTCCCATTTTTTAAAAAGAATAAGAAGTATTTAACAGAGAAAGATCAAACTTACTTTTGTCAGTGATAATATACTAGCACTGAAATTATTGGTAAATTAACTTTCAAGGGAAAATCATGGCTTTGCCTAGGCATACCCTTCAAATAGACCAGCAGGTAATAATACAGCTGTAATACATAGTATCTGGGTTACACTCCTCTCATAGTCTATATATGATGTTAAACTAGTTTTTAGTTTAACAGAAGTTCTATTAAAAATAGGCTGTTTGGATAAAGTAAAATATAATGGTTCAAATAAAATGATTAGCAGGTGGTGTAAGACCAGGCCACAAAAATGCCTGGTTTTGTTTACCCCGTTTGCTTTTCTGTGTCTTATATTCGGAGCATTTGAAAGCAAGTGCTGTCTTCTTTTTAGTGTCCAATAGAACACAGAAGTGGCATTTATCCAGTACATGCTTGTCGAATGAATAAAAAAGATGAGGGTGAAAATACAATAAGACAAAACCACCTCAGAAAACTTTTCAAAATACAACATTTTACTGCATGTAGCTATAAAAAAGTAACAAAAACAATTTTCTTTAGAAATAAATAAAAAATAGTCATCCTGATTGACCTAAGTCAGTTAGCTCAGAAGGTTTAAATAAGGTTTTTTTCATTTTTATATGAGATAACCCAATAAATATTTCTATAATTGTGCAAAGTTGTTATATCTCACATCAGTCAGAAAGAGAAATGGATATTCTAAGATGGTAATAAACCAGTTACTGTTTAAGGTAGTAGTTTATAGCTGAAAAAATCCATGTGAGGAAATAAAGGTCATAAAAACTTGGGGAAAAAAACAGGTTTCTGTTTAATTGTATTCGTTAAACCAATCCTTTAAATCCAGAATCAACTACAAAGATTATGGTGCTGTTAAAAGCTGCATGCTGAGTGTGTAAGCTTACAACGGTAATTTTAACTTTCATCAAGACAGGGAATAAAATGTATTGAGTATGAATTATTGCATGTGTGTCATACACTGAAAGATTAGGGGACGAGTGTGCTTATCCTAAGTGAATTTAAGCAAAGTACTCCAGTGGTTCATTTGAAGGACTGATTATAAATTAAAAAATTAAATGACACAGGAAATTAATAATGTTCAGCACAGAAAATTTAGTACATGATTTACCTGCCCGGAGCCTCTTAGATGTGATTTTCTTTCAAGAAGGGGATAACCCTTTACATTTTAGAAAAATAACTTAGTAATATTTTATTAATGAATACAATGATATCATATATGCTCCGAACACAATCACAAGTAGTACTGAATAACAATGGTTAGTTTTCCGTTTTCCTCCCATTATTTGCAAGATATCTTCATCTAACACGAGAAGCTTTTTATTTACTTTTATTGCATTTCTCTAAGAACTCATTATCTTCATACTAATAGCAAAATAATAATAATAATAGTAATCATAATAAACTCTATTAAAAATAAAATAAAATAAAAATTTAATTACTCTACTTATGTTAATCATTGTATTTATCTAACTATAATCATGGGGAAAAGAGAACTTACAATTCATTCTTTGAAAAGCATATGATGCATTAATGTTACGTTAGCAAAAAAATGGGACAAAGTAAAGTGAAATATCGGGACGTGAAACTTTAATACAGTGTTTCACAGAGACAACATTGCAAAGTATGGTATTTATAGCTTATCAAAACATGCCAGTCACTGAAGCTCACAAACATAATATGCTAAACAGAAACCTTGATACAAACTGTGACATAATTTCCCAATTGTTCTGTAATTTTTGCTCTAAATCTTAATTTCTACAGTTTTATCATAACCTCAATTTCACAAATGCATGTCATAACATTCAAATGCAAAAAAAGGTCTCTAGAATGATTTTTAGCTGGTAGAAAGCAAGCACTTTTTTTGGTCTATTTTAAACTGTAATTGGAAATTCATTAGCTCATGATGGAAACTATACATATGTGCCATTTCCTCTCTCTGGCTTTCTCATTGCACATGTGGCTATAGATTAAAAATTGTGTATAATTGTATAATTTAAGAAGTCATTTCTGCAGATTCATGCAAGTACACATTTGTATAGCCAACCAAAAATATCAGGTGACTACATGGAGTCATCCAGATAAAAGAAATCTGTATAGGATATGCAAAAATTCACCAGAAATCTGAACAAAGAAAACATCTGAGGGAGATTTTAGCCCTGCTCCTCAAGTTTGGAAGTCAAGCCATTTGGCCATAGATCAAATTTCCTTCTTATTAACTGCACGCAGAGAAGTACACTGCCCTAACGTCATGTCAAAGATTCCCGTATTAAAAACTGTCTTGATACAAAACATGTAGTAAACAGAGAAAGCTGATCAGCTACCTAAACAAATCAAAATTCTGCCGTGGCTCCCTATTCCAAAGGAATAAGGCCAACCTTTTAGTATGCATGAATCCTAAGGCACACTAAACTCAGCCAATAAATGTGAACACGTTCCTCCAGCACCCGATACACAAATCATGAACTTCTTTACGATGTTCCCCAGACTCTCGCCTAGCATCTTTGATCACGCTGTTCCCTTGGCTTCTAGTCTCCACTGAAAACCATCTTCTGAGGCCCACCTCAAAATCTGTCTTTCCCAGGAGGCTTTTTTATGATAATTAACTTTTTCTACTGACCCCACTGTTGTACTGAATTTTCCTTTTCTTGAGCACACATTGATGACTTGTTAGAAGTTATTAATGTTATCACCCGACCCCCATTCTAACAGAGGCAGAATCTTTTCACAGAAAACTGGTTTGATGGCCTTTTGTACCCTCCTACTATATAGTTTCCTATCTCACTTCAGCAAAGTGCTCAAAAAGCATTTAACTGAGTTTAATATAAGGTGCTGGCATTGCTACCATCCATCCCATCTTTGGGAAATCAGTTCATATCTTGGTCTTTCCCCATGTTTTCCTGTTTTAAAAAGTAGGTGGCTAATGATAATACATGGAAATGTATATTGAAATGCCTTTAATATTGTATATCTTCCTTTCTTTGATATGCACCTTAAAATAGGGATATTTATAACCCAAGAATTAAAAAAATATAACACTCTGAACACACCTCCCTTTGGAATGTAGTTTCCCAGAGTTTCAGAGTTGATAGACAATTTGGACCCTTAACTAAATTATCCTTTCTTCTGTGACCATGGAGAAAAGTCATGTTTGGGCTCTCACTTTCTGAAATGATTCTGGTCATGCTTTGGCTGTAACCTTGTCCCATCCTATCTGTTACCTGAATCCATGACCATCTGTCATTTTCTGCAGCTGTCCAGGCATTGATGAGCCCCTTCTTATTAAGACGAGCATAGTATGGGTACCACTTCTGAAGTCCAAAAAGAGCTCGGTGAGTAGATGAAGCTGTGATTTGCTGGTTAGATATGATTCCACCTTCAATTCCCAATGGGCCCGAGCATTCTGGAAACAAATCAGAAAAAAAATGTGAATGTTTTAAAAGTAATCCATATTGGAAATGTGGCTGTTTGATTTGATGAGAGATATTTTCAATAGATTTTGAATTGTACCATCATACCATTGAAGCTGCACATACTTCACAGATGTTATGGATCACCACATGAAAGAAATATTTTCTGTACCTCATGACACTCACTTCTTTCTCTCTTTGAGTGTGACATCTGAACAGATACCTCTCTTCTGCGTTATGATTCTGTAATATGTACAATTTTCTTTTGGCTGTTGTTCACGTCAACAAAAGTGTAATGCCCTTAAAAGGCCTCTATCAGATTTCTTACCCCTAAAGATTAGCATGCCTCATAAATCAAAAGTTCTCAAATATCTGTTTATCTATTTTTTTCTAGCCTCCCCCGAGTTTGTGTTAAAATAAGTTTTTATTGACTTAGCCTCCTCACTATTATAAACTTTTAACTTATATATTTATAACCAATGTCAGTTATAATTTCACAAACAAAGCCATGTATAAATATGTCAACATTTAAAAACATTATAATAATAACTTATGATATGTTATAAATAATAGAAAATATGTCAACAGAATATTTATAAAGCAGGTAAACTTTCTAGCACTATAAAAAACAGTGCATGTACCACTCAGTAAATCAAGATATTAAAATATTTGTATTTCTAAATTTTTTTCAAAATTCACAACTACATATTGGAATTGTGCAATTATATTTTAACTTTCTTATTTTTACTTAAATTGATGAAAAATTTAAAGGAAATTTTTTAATATAAATTGTAAATACTAAAATTGAAGCATAAAATCTCAGATAATAAATTTACTTAGATTTTAAAAACAAAACTGGAGGTCAACTCATGTAAAAATTACAAATATTTATATTACATATATTTAAAATTTAGAATTACTTCATACATTTTCACCACAGAGTACCAGTTTTTTAAGTTTTGAAAATAAGTGAATTTGGTTATTCAGTTTTAGAAATTCATAAGTAATATTATAACTAATAAAAAGTAACATCTAGTTTTCTTTTTTCTATTTAAATTTTTATGTATTGATTTTAGAGACAGAGAGGGAAGGAGGAAAGAAAGGGAGAGTGACACATGGATTTGTTGTTCCACTTATTTATGCACTCATTAGTTGATTCTTATATGTGTCCTGACCAAGGACCAAACCAACAGCCTTGGTGTATTTGGACAATTTTCTGACCTACTGAACAGTTTGTATGGAACTGTCCATACTTGGACAGTTTTCTTAATGTCTAGTTTTCTTCATTTCATTAACATTTCATATACTATCCTCAATGTTTTTGACATATTTGATTTATATAATAAGTATAATAATCTTATTATGAAATATACTACAATAATTTGTCAGGATTGCTGAAAATAATGAAAGTAACACACTACCATTATAAATGCCACTCTAGAGAAATCACCTTGATCAGTGATAGACACCTAGCACACTGGACAAATTTTAATTACTACTGAAGTCCAACATTTGACTGTAATAAAATGATCAGTTTGAGGTTAAAATATGAAAGAAATAATTCTGCAGCTGGATTATAATTTTTGAACTTTACAAAGTTATATTAGTAATTTTTTTCATTAAGACATGTTTATATGTCTCTTATTCCTATTTAATGACCAGGCAATAAATAGCTCTAAGCTCATTACTAACATTTCCCCAATTGTTTTAAAGCCTTTAAACACTTTTCATTAAAAAGATAACAATCTGTGGATAAGTAATCACTTTATCAGACTTTATTGGTAAATGACATTAATACACCAAAAATTGCCTCTGTGTAACTAATGATTAATAAATCATTCACTTGATAAGTTAAATTTAAATATTAGAATTTATAAAAGATGTAATTAGAGCTGTTTAGCATTTTGTGAAGGTACACTATATCACTTTGAAGTCATTAAATTAAAAAGCCATTTGTTTTTAGAATTACAGTATTAAGACTCACAGATAATAATCTAATACTCACATTTCAAAATAATTAAGATTGAGAACTCAAATACTGAGTCTTTGGATTTTTGCTTTACTTTCCATTTTACATGATATTTTCAGAGTTCATAAAAGCACAAAGACCTTTCTGATGACACTTTGATTTTAACAACTTCAGGAGGCTGACTTTTTAGGAGTATTGCCACAGAAGGAGTCTCAAGTACCCTTGTCTCTGATTTGTACAGTGACTGGGTGGGAAAATGTAGCAGGCACAGAGGCCATTTCCCGTAGGCCAGTCAGGAGTAGGACAGAGCTACAGAGTCACCTTTAATCAGTTAAGCTGCAAGACAGCCCTAGAAAGAACTCTATACCATTGAATTGTATACTTCTAAAAACCTCATGGTGAATTGTACATCTTTATCAAATTCATAAACATTTAAAAAGTGATTAGGCCTCAAACCACACTGTTTAATAAGTACACTTCATCAGCACCAACCAACCTTCCCTTACTAGCTAAATGGTGTGTAAACACATTGGTCACGAACCGTTGAATTTCATATAGGCCAAACACCAATCAGCGATTTAAAAAATACATTTGCATATTTTTTATTCTGCCCATAATTCTCTCATTTTTGTCATGTCCTAACTAGTCATTTATTCAAACAAAATATAATTAAAAAATGTCTGTGACATGTATATAAATATGGGCTTCACAATTTAAAAGTATTTTTAGATAAGTTATCTGATTGCTGTAATGTCAAATTTATAAATACTGTATTTCTTTACTCAGTCCTCAATTACACACAGTTTTTAAAAAATAAGTATTTACAATATTCACTTACATTTTGTATGCTGCCAATCAGTAAATTCCAGCAAAGAAAAGCTGACTATAGGTCGGGGTGGGGGTAGAAAATTACGGGGGCAGGAGGGCAGGGAGCTTGGGGCCAGAGGGGTTTTTGAATGAAGCACGAGTCAGTGAGGCATCAGCTTACTTCCTTACTGGTTAGTGGTCCTCACTTTTTCTCATTAAAATTCAGGGTTATGTGGAAAAAGAAAGAGGTTGGTTCTGTAAGGTCAAACACATATTTGAGTTGCAGAGATGCTGACCTTTAGCTCCGAGGAAGCCACGCTGGGTCTACACACTGTTATACCCTTAAACGTGCATGGTGGCTTGTGCCAGGAAGAGCCCAGTAAAGATGAGTTGAGCATTGGTATTGGGGACCCTTTGTTCTACACAGTAAACTAAAAAGCAAATATAACTCTCATACTTTGTTTCACACTGGAAAGTTGTCACGGCAGCAGCTTTTCTTCACTGATCATTTGGACCACAATCAAATGGATGTCATCATAATAAAAGGTTCAAAATCCAATTTCCTTTTGCCCGTGCAGTCCACCTCCCCAAAGTCCTATTAAATTCAACAGTTATAAAAACTAATGAAGGAGTTGCAATTCAGAACGCAAATGATTATACACCTAAGATTAAGTGACCTTAAGCAGTGTACAACAAGACGCTTAAAAGAAAGATAATCTGGAGCTGTGCATTGTTATCACTATCGAATGAATGAGGGAAGGATATGAAATGCTACTTTTTTATCTTTAATTGTAGTTTTTCCATTATGATTTAATCCCCTTATGTTACCCTCCCCTTACCAATCACCAATTTGAAATACTATTTGATGAAAAATGTAGTATTACATGAACATTCTGAAGTTTGTAAAAGTGTCCTCATATATTTCATTACATAATCAAAATAATATTTTAAGGAGAAAGGTTATTATGACTATATAATAAATGCAGAAATGTGTGAGGAGGAAAGTTAAACTTGCAAAAGGTAAGTCTGGAATTTAAACCAACATGCTCTGCTTCCTAAGCAGAAAAGAATATCAATTGATAAAGTGAAGAGTCCAGTAATTCTTTAAGAAATTACTGATTCTGGATCTTTTTCCTCTGCTATAATTTTATATGAGATGTGTCCTTACACATACTAGGAAAGAAGATGGGTGAATTAATATGCAGGAAATATGTAGAATATCACGAGTGGCATTAAGATATGTCAGAGTTTTCACAAACTGGTATACATTTAAAAAGCAGGTGACAGTCTGTGGCAGTGAGTCACAGAATTAAATGTTAAGGCATTATGGTGTCCCTTAAAAGGTGTTAAAAAATTAACCTGATACCATTATTAGCCTATTTCTACTTATCTAATATAAACAGGTTAATTCAGCCTTGAGTAATTCAATAACCTCTTATTATGTGTCAATCTATCTATCACTCAGTCTGTCTACTCATTTTTCATTCATTTATCTCAGCTTCAAAAAATACATATTTACTAAAGCTCTACTATATATCAGCCACTTTTCTAGGCAGTGGAGATACAGGGATGAATAGGCAGAAAAGATTTAAAATCTTAGAGTCCATATTGTAGTGGGTAAGCAAACTATTAGACAAACAAATAAAGAAGGAAACACCACAAAGTGATAAGTCAAGAATAAAAGATAATGTGTTAGGTGCTCAGTGATGGCCTTTCTGAGAAGTGACATTAAATCCAACCTCTGAGTGAAGGGCAGAAACTGGCTATTGTGTTAGGTTAACTGAATTGGTTTCCTCATGTAGCTTTCAGTTGAGTGGGAGAGAGACAGAGAAGTAAAAAACATTTTGCTATGTGATTGTGGGTACACAGGATTCAATGGGAGAATCAAGAGGGAATCATCACCCAGCCATGGGTTCAGAGAAGGATTTGCTGGAGAAGAGTGGGAGCTGGCATAGTGAAGAAGGAAGAGAGGGCAGACACAGAGATGGGAAGCAGCCTGGTATGAGTAGGGAAGTAGAGGCAGGCCAATAGTACGAGACCAAGACGGTAGGGATGGTCAAGACAGGATGAAGAAACAGAGAAATCTAGACTCGTTTGCTGAAGAGCTTGCTGAGAAGACATGATTCATTCAGTGAAAGGAGTTGTTCAGTGATTCTAGCCATGATCACATTTCCATTTAATGTAGGTCATTCCGGCTATATTGGGGAGGATAGATTT